GAAGGAATTTTGAATTCTGCATCATTATTTCTAAGATTATAGGGGTGGTTTGTAGGACGAAAAGGTTCAATCAAGTCCTTTAAATATTTAGGTGAATAGCCATTTATGAATTTATATAATAGTAGCAATTTATGAATATTCCTCCTAGTTTGTAAAAGATCCCACCCTAATTCATCATACAATTTTGATCTAGAGGAATTTGATCTTAATCCAGTAATAATTCTACCTGCTTCAACTTGGATATCTTCTAAAAGTTTTGCATCTTTTTCAGAACAATTGTCCCAAACAACATCAGAATATTCTAAAACAGGTCTAATAACTGCAAAATATATCTTAATAAGTGTTTTCTTTTCACCTTATACTTAAGCATTCTGAGGATATTTAGTCGTTTTGTAGCTTTTTCATAAATTAATTGTATATGCGAAGTCCAGGTAGCATCACTTTGAAAATGTAATCCGAGGTGGGTATGAGATGCATTTTGAATAATGGATGGGCCATGATGACCAAATGTAATAGGCGGATATTTTATATTTTTGCGAGTGAAATCAACATTTACAGTTTCGTTTGGATTAAAGTCAACAAGCCATTTTTTTGACCATTTATCAATTAGGTCTAGATCACTAGTAAGCGACTGTGCTACATTTGTGGCTTCTTTTTCTACAATAGCATATAAAGAGTTGTCATCAGCAAAAAGACGTATATTGTTTGCTAAATCATCACAAATATCATTTATGTATAGAAGAAAGAGAAAATGTCCCAAAACAGAACCCTGGGGAACACCAGCATTTACTGTCTCATGGTTTGATGAAAAGCCATCAATTACAACTTTTTGTTGTCTATCACACAAATAATTCTCAATCCAGCCTAATATGTTGCCATTAATACCATATTTTTTTAGTTTAGATAAGAGACCTTTATGCCAAACTTTATCAAATGCTTTTGAGATATCACAAAAAATAAATCTAACATCTTTACCTTTTCAAGACTTGAAATTATAGTGTTGTATATTTCTACTAGTTGGTTCACAGTTGAGTCTCCAGGTTGAAACCCTGACTGATATTTGTAAATTACATTATTATCTTTCATAAAATTATGCAATTGTTTAAACAAGATTTTTTCCATTATTTTACATAAGACACTTGTAAGGGATATTGGTCTATAATTTGATACTTCTTGAGCACTACCTTTATTTTTAAAAACGGGTGTAATCTGTGATAGTTTCCAAATATCTGGCAACTTTTTTTCAATTAGTGATATATTAAAGAGTTTTGTTAGAGGGGTTTTAATTGTGCTAGCTATTTCTTTCAAAATTCTTGGGGAAATACCATCAGGACCGGGTGGTTTACTACTGTCAATGATACATAATTGATCATAAACTTCATTTTCAGTGATAAATATTTCAGATAAAGTGTCTGTATTTTGTAATGGTGGACCAGCACCATGAAGGGGAATGTCTGGTTCATCTGTAATAGATGAAACTTGTGCAAAGTATTTATTAAGGACTGTAGCTTTCTCAACTGGATGGAAGATAAGTATACACGTGGAGAAAGGGGGTTTCTTTTAAAACTGAATTGATTTTTATAAAACTGTTTCATTATCGCATGCGAATGTTTATCTAAATGTTCGTGGAGTTTCTTCATATTTTAATTATTTATCAGTGTGAGTTATTGAAAAGTACAAATGAAAGAAAATATACTAGCTGAAATTGAAAAAAAAATCAAATGTTACTGATAGTAATTCTTTGGCAGTTGGCATAAAAACGAATTTTTGGAATGCGGGGAATGGGGGGGGGGGCATTTACTCTTTCATTATCATTTCAATTTTCAATATTAATAGTGAGATAAAAACACACTAAAAGGCATATAAATGACACTTATGTACTTACGCAGCACAGTTAAGGTGTGCAATGGAAATATCAACTAAATTTTGTATTTAAAAATGTATTCGTATCGTGATGGCGATTATTTTTAGTACATGATTTATATCAGATAATTGTTATCATGTTTTATAAATACATAAAATCATGATTATTTTTTTATATATAGACTAGTCACGTGATGCGGCAGTCAAGCTATTTTAGCACATTGACTTGAAGTATTGATGTTACATATAAATGTCACTTGTGCAAGGGCTAACCAAGTTAAATTTCCAAGTATAGTATATAAATATTTTCAACACGCATTATAGTTTCTAAAAAGTGCTGCGATCCTGTCTAAATTCTGCTATTTCATTGTTAAAATTATACTTGTATGACCGAATGCAATATTTTTTGCTGGTCAGCGGCATGAAATATTGATATAATTAAATTGTTTTTAAGATTTCATCAGGATCGCAGCACTTTTCAGATACATTAATAGTTCTGTAGTTGAAATGTAAAAGCTTACTTTGATCCATAGAGTGTATGCCCTTGCACTAGATCGATTTATTAAGACCCCCCATATTACCCTCCAATGTATTTGCATACAAATATATACGACAGTGTCAATCAAATACGTCTTGTACAGAAAATATATTAATAAGATAGTGAAGAAGACATTAAATTCAAGTTATTATCCCATAGAATATATGTAAATAATATTTTATTTAATTAGAGAATACATATTTTGTTGAAAAAATTTTACTTGATCTGTCTCTCACTGCATACAAACTACGTCACGTCGTAAGAAACGACGTCATATTGACAAGTGCATTGCGATCAGTGACTTGTTTATAACTTGTCGTGTGGGATTTAACTAACGACAAAACAACACGCTGTAGTAAGTTTTTATGTATGTTGATGATTTTTTACGGGTTAAATTAGCAGAAAAACTCATTTTGTGGTATTTTAAAGAAATGTTGTATGACGTATATTGTGTATTGTGTTATGTCATAGTCAAGTTTTCCAGTACAAATTAGGCTCCGTCTCCTTTTTGTAACATTAACTGTGCTGCGTATTAAATGTGCTTGACCACTTATGAAGCTTTGTGTGAAAGATTTACTGATTTAACTGGATATTTAGTTTATCAGTTGTTTAGATGCCTTTGATCATAACATTGTACAACAACGTCGAAATTTGTCAAGTTATATTTTTTTTTTTCAAAAATCTCGGGAACAGTCTTGTTTAAATGCATATACTACTGGTACAGGCTGGAAAAAATGCTGTCAACAACTAAATATCTAGTGGTTTTAAAAATTTAAGGACAATAAAACTTCTATTTAGCTCGATTAAAGGTATGACCTCCTTTTGCGGGTTTGCACCTTTAAAGAAAGACTGGATTTTCTCTACATTTTATGCGTAATCTAATGCATTTCCCTCAGGTAGTGAAAATAATATTCGTCCGAGACTTATAGTAGTTCTAACTCCCCATCTTTAATAGAGGAGGAATATACTTATTACCATGTGTACTTACATCAGTGGAAATTGTACGGAAATTAAAATACAATGTCGACATCTAAATAAGAGAAAAATCAGAATTTTAATTAAGATATACACCTTTGCATATAATCTTAAACGCATTAACTGTGAGATAAAAAAAATTAGATAGCGTTATACTAGTATATTGTTCTACATCCATTCATTTAAAATTTGTATCACAGTATAATGACAGTGCAAAAATTCATTCTAAAAAAATATATCATTTTTTCGTGCAAGCTTATATCCGTTTTTTTTCATATCACAGCTATACACCTGGACAGTGTTGTGTAAGACTTACTCGCTAAAATGTCCAATAGTGACTTATTAAATCCACTAAAATGTCCAACAAAAATTTAATTCTTTCTGTAATGATTCACTTTTTTATGTTATGATTATAGATGATATTGTTTTCTAGTATATGTTTTTTTTCTAAAAATCAAAATCCTCCTCAAGATTGTCCATATCCTTCAAACTGGAGTCACTATTTGTGGTTGAATTATCTAATTCCTCGTCAAAATCTGCACCATAATTATTCATATCACCATTCACCCTTGCAGTAATTGTGTCCATCGCACATACAGAAGATCTCAGTGAGGACGTCTCGATATTCTTTAAAGGGTCGCTCATCTCTGAAAATGAAGACAATGAAGTAAAAATTAGAAAATAAGTGGGATTAGTGAATTATCACTCTGTACGTATTCTGATCATGTAAATGGAACGAAATAAACGGAAATCATGTTTTCCACTCGCATTGAACAGTGACAATTACATCCAAATTTTAACTATACAACTGTGGATATATCAGTTAGACAAGCAAAAGACATTTAAAGAAGCAATACGTTTTGAATCTTACATGAATTCAGTAAGTGTAAATCTAATATTGACTTCTAAATGTCGTTTAACAGTTTTTATGAAAATGTGGAATTTTAACTATTTATAGATTTTACATTCCATCTTTTAGGTATTATATAAAAGATCAAGATAGCGAAAAAGTGAAAGAGTCACCATAATTTACATTTAAAATGTAATTTACAATGAACAAATTGAATGCTAAAGACTTATTAAGCATTGATTATAATTCATGAAAGATATATTGAATAATTCAAGTAAAATAAGAAATACGTATTCATCGCTGAAAAATATTTCAGAAGTTTGCAACAAATATTTCAATTCTTTATGTACATGTATAAAATCTCACAAGTTGTCTAATTTTGCAATTCTTATATGTATCTTTAAATTCTAAAGATTGTTTTAAAATTATCTATTTACCTTCAAGCTTTTTAATTATATGATCTTCCATCAAGTTGATATGACCTATTTGAATTACAAAAAAAATATTCTCGTTAAAATCGTCAATGCAGAAAGCAATGAAACTAATACATGCATTACCAACCAAAACATGATACAAAGGTACAGAATGGAAATTCCTTGCAATGCAGTTTGAAGTTAAAATAACATAATATACTTACCAGAAATCTTCTTTGTTAATCGTTTTTCAAGGTTTTGAAATTGTTCTAAAATAGATAGAATCATTTTTTTTAATGAAAGCCACCCCTTTCAGAAAAAGAAATACATATACTTATTTGTTAATATGTTTTGATCGATACCTTTTAAAATCCCCATTGCTTTATCTTCAAACGCTTTCAGAGATTCTTAAAAATAAAATTAGAGAGCAGCCTGAATAAAGCGAGGTACATATTCTTCTGCGTTCTTATATTATTCATCTTTAAAGGTATTAAAAAAAGAACAGCAGATAATTTATAATATAGATACATGTGTTCATACTTTCATTGTGACTGTATTACAAATTCGAAGATTAAAGGAAACGTTGGGTCTAAAAAGACTTTTTGATATTTCATTCATTGAATGGTCAATAATGAATTTTACCTGCCATTTGTTTTAACTTAATTATAAAGTAATAAGACATCAAAGTTATGAGTAAACTGGCTGCTGGTGGCTGCCATGTTGAGAGATAAAGTTATCGCGCTTGCTAAATATTTTCCCTAATCCTCACTTTTATGACGTATTGCAGGCCATTTGGCTCAAAGTGTAAACGTTATCATGTCGGAATCAAGTTTTGAAAATGTGCCAATTAAGTGTGTGCAATTTGATTTTGGATCTGAATGTATTATAGGAAATATAATTTCATATTCCTATTCTTCTAGTGTTTCAGAATTCAGGAAATTAAAAGAAGGATTTAATAATAAAAAGCCATAAACTTGTCGGATGTAACATTAATTCAAAACTTAGCTGTAAAGGTTGCAAATGTATTATTTTACATGATTTTAATTAAAACTTTTTAAAGTTTTAATGTGTCCAAAAAGTTTTATGTAATTCCTATAAATAACAATTGCTTAATTAGCTTATTTCTGAAAGAAGGAATTTTATTTTTCTGCAGTCATAAACACATTGACTCTATACATCTGGCATTTAATCTGTCTACACTACGTCAGCAGAGGCCATGATAAGGTTTTCCCCATGCTGCTCCAATGAAGCTATCAAAATCCAATTTAACTGCTGTTATCATCAGCGCAGTATTGTTAGATGCAGCTTTTCTTTTTATATGAGAGGTACAGTTTTATATATAAAAATTTTAATTCTGACCAAACGTTCCCTTTAATGATGGTGTTATTTTTCTTATTTAAAAAAAACACAGAAAAAAATATATATTAGTGATTTTATAAATTTATTATTTAAATCTTTCTTGTACAATAAATGCTTGCAAGTAACTTTTTTTACTGAATAAATGGATGCTATTTTAAAATACAGTATCAATGTAGCTTTTCAATTTTTTAAATATCTTCCGGAGCATTGAAATAAAATGAATTAAAATACTAAAGGATTAATTTACTCTATCTGCATCTTAAAAAAAATTCCAGGAAATTTGCAACATTGTTCTTAATGATCCGTAATGAAAATCCACGAAAAATGCATTATTTTCTAGGATAGAATAAAATCAATTATGACAAGAAAATAGGAACTCCAAGATAAAGTCTATCTACTGCTTTTATATTTATGTATCTTTCTGCTACAAAACAATTGATCTTATTATAATAGAAAACTGTTATACACGTTAAATTACGTTTTGAAATAAACAAAAGAATCCTTGTTCTTAATAATCGATTTCTCACCGGATGTCTCCCTTGAGAGAGTCTTCTGATGCTCTTCTGTTTTGTTGAGTCGCTCTTAAGAAGATTTAAAAACAAGAGACACTTTAAAATATATTTCCAAACAAAATTTAATAGTGTAAGAAACTTATGTATACATTATTAAAGAATGTGCTCGATTTAACTTCAGTTTTCTGTATTCAAAAAATTCTTCTTCTAAAGACATATTTAACACATTATAAACTGTGTTTCATTTAACGTCACATAATTCTATTTTACCAGGACTATGATACAACATCAACGACTACTAGGTGTTACTATCGTACAAAACAATTTTTCCTATGTAACTAACTCTCTCCCTTGATCATTAAAATATCAAATTGTAATGATATATATATACTATTTTCCCTATTCTTAGTATAATTATGAACGCTTGTCAGACAGTTAATCATTTACACAACTTTTGATATTCCTATGTCATAAAATTGAAAGGAAAATAAATCTGTTTTAAAAGTAAAATAAAACATTACTTTTTTTTTACTGTCCATAAGTCCGAAAAATAAACAAGAGGCCCAGGGGCCACAACGCTCACCTGAGCACATCGGGCTTGAATTTACTCCCCACCCCTCCAGGCATTCATCATTTGAACAAACTAGAATCTACACTACCTGAGGATGATTCCATATAAATATCACTAAACATAGCTTTGAAGTACTTGAAAAGAAGATTTTAAAAGATTTTCCTATATATCCCTATGTAAAACTTGGGTCGGCCATTTTGGCCCCACCCTAGCCCCAGGGGTAATGATTGGAACAAACTTGAATCTACACTACCTGCGGATGATTCCACATGAGTTTCATCTTTCCTGGCCCAGTGGTTCTTGAGAAGAAGATTTTTAAAGATTTTTCCTATATATTCCTACGTAAAACTTGGGTCGGCCATTTTTGGCCCCACCCTTGCCCCGGGGGTCATGATTTGAACAAACTTGAATCTACACTACCTGAGGATGATTCCACATGAGTTTCATCTTTCCTGGCCCAGTGGTTCTTGAGAAGAAGATTTTTAAAGATTTTTCCTATATATTCCTACGCAAAACTTAGGTCGGTTATTTTGGCCCCACCCTTGCCCAGGGGTCATGATTTGAACAAACTTGAATCTACACTACCTGAGGATGATTCCACATGAGTTTCATCTTTCTTGGCCCAGTGGTTCTTGAGAAGAAGATTTTTAAAGATTTTTCCTATATATTCCTATACAAAACTTTGGTCGGCCATTTTGACCCCACCTTTGCCCCGGGGGTCATGATTTGAACAAACTTGAATCTACACTACCTGAGGATGATTCCATATGAATTTCATCTTTCCTGGCCCAGTGGTTCTGGAGAAGAAGATTTTTAAAGATTGTTCCTATATATTCCTATGTAAAACTTGGGTCGGCCATTTTGGCCCCACCCTTGCCCCGGGGGTCATGATTTGAACAAACTTGAATCTACACTACCTAAGGATGCTTCCACATGAGTTTCATCTTTCCTGGCCCAGCGGTTCTGGAGAAGAAGATTTTTTAAAAATGCCATTAATTTTTAACAAATTCATGATTATCTCCCCTTGGAAAAGGGCGTGGCCCTTCATTTGAACAAACCTGAATCCCCTTCACCCAAGGATACTTTGTGCAAAGTTTGGTTGAAATTGGCCCAGTGGTTCTTGAGAAGAAGATGAAAATGTGAAAAGTTTACGACAACAACGAAAACAACAACAACGACAACAACGACAACAGACAACGGACAAATTTTGATTAGAAAAGCTCACTTGAGCCTTTGGCTCAGGTGAGCTAAAAAGCAGATATTAAAATTAATTACCTTGTTTGAGCATTAGTTCGTCTGCAATATCAATTATTAAAATGCAACTTCAATTCAAAATAATGTAATGTACATGTGACAATATTTTCTGACATTTTATTGATAAGCTCGCATATTAATAAATGAACATAAAACAAAATCGCAAAAGTTCTATATCAATTTACATCGGTATTTATACATGTTCAATTTGGCAATCATAGAAAATATATACAATTAAGATATTTGTTTTAATTTTAATCTTGACTGCAAGCGAATCTTATAATTTAAGTCCATTTTATATAAAAATGACTGATTTATTATTAACTTAATGTAATATGATAGAATGTTCTATGTTTGCAATACAAGACTTAATTTTACGCAGCACAATGAAGGTTACATAAAGGTGTCAGTCTATTTTATATTTACTATGTTTACTATGTTTTAGTAAAAAAAATAAAATAAAATAATAAAAGAAACATTAGGTCTTTCATTTACATCAGCATACATGATTTGCATTTTAAACTGTTGGATAGCTCTATACTATATCATAACTTATTTTGTCATCCAAAGTCTTCGTCAATGTATCCAGCATATTAAGATATATAAACAAATTCACTGATCGCAATGAAATTGTCAATGTGACGTAATATCAAATTATTTGAAACAGTTTGAACACTGTGAAAGGCTGATATACCGTATAGCCGGTTTTTTTGGCGGGACACAAATTTGGCGATTTTAGGTTGTTTAGATATATAATTAATTTTGGTGGATAATATTTTGGTGAATTCAAAGAAGAAGGTATGGTTTTAGCCTTATTGCGCCCTAGAAATTTAATGATATCAAAAAGTTTTGAAACTGGCTTAAATATTAGTTAAATAAATGACTCTGATAAATCAGGAAAGAATATGGCATGAAGGTTTACCATTCTGCAAATATGACGTCATTAATGTGAAGCATTTCTCTATTTTCAACAGAAAAAGCTTCAAAATGGCTCATTTCAAGGGTGATTTTCCTTTAGAAAACTATGTCTACAGCCGTCGCCCACGTTAATTTTTTGATATTTTGTGCAAAATTCAATAACAAATCACATATCTCAAGATCTTTGTGGTCGATGCCTGTGGACAATGTTATCTGAAAGAAAATTCCATTGAAAATTGGTGTCTTCTGCAACTTTTTCAGAAAATACGGGAAAATGCACATGTTTATGACGTCATAATTAGCATTTAAAAACACATGTGATCAAAATTACTTGTATGATTTTTCTGTACATGTATTGATTTTTAATTAATTAAAAAGCATGAATTTTCAACTTTTAAACCAGTTTCTTTTTTTTAGAAAATCACAGGGCAAAATTTGTATGGAAACCACACCTTCTTCTTTATTACCTTTAAGTCGCAGGTTAAGAATACGCTCTTGTTACGATTGCACACCCTCCCAAACTTGCGAAAGTGTCGGGAAATCCTCGGAAATACGCAGATACTATTGTTAAATCACATCCCAAATATGGAAATTCAGATGTAGCTCTTATTTGAACTGCACAAATAATGTAAAGTATATTTTTTAAGAAGTAGAATATTTGTATTTAATTGAAAACAAAAGTAGGACATGAACTTCTTTTTTCCGTAGCTAAATCCGTTTAAATATACGTATTGCTGACAATACATTCCAAGCGCTGTTTGTGTTTACGTAAACAAACCATCCCAAGCGCAATTACTTTCACACATAGATATTAATTGATACCAGTTATTTAGTTATAACAAGTACATATAGTTTAAAACATTAGTTGTTGAAAAAACTTCATTTGTCATGAGTGTGCCGTTTAAATGACAGATGATTTGAACCCATTGTTTAGCAAGCATGACACTTTTTTCACTTAGAGACGTTGTAAATTACTAGATAATTTTCCAAGAACATAATGTGAACACAAATTATATATATATATATATATATGTTTCTGTGAATCGTCATACCTTGCATTGCTTCTTGAGATCTCCGTAACCACTCTTGAGATTCTTCAAGTGTATCAAGTCTTTCTGTATAATACAAGAGGTCCGTAAGCCTTATAGGTCACCTGAGCATTATGCAATAACTTTCCAGTGATTGAATTTGATCCATGTTTTCAGCCAGATGCTATAGCAATTACAATTTTGATCATCATAACTATACACTTAGCAGTTGTTGAGTTTGGTTACTTATTACCCATAGGTAGGGTAGGGGTACAAAAAATGCATTTCAACAAATCAGTAATATTCAGCAATAATCAGTAGTGCCGCTACCACACATGAACCCTTGACTCTTAGGCCTAGATCCACACGTTGCACAATTTTTGAAAAGGCATCCTTGCTTTTCAAAAGTATTTGATTAATACCAAGGAGCAGTTTTCAAACAATTTATTATTTTTTCAGTATATAAGAACAGCCTCCCCCCTATGGTACTACTGACCATGGGGCCGTGAAATTCACAATTTTGGAAGATTAGGGCCCTTGCTCAAAACTATATAGGTAGTTTACATGCTTAATACCCAGGAGCAGGGAAGAAGATTTTCAAAGAATTCATGTATTTTCACTTTATAATCAATAGAGCCCCACCCTAACACCAGAACCCCTGACCCTGGGGCCATAAAATTCACAACTTTGATAGAGACACTTTTGCTCATCATAACTATGTTCTTAGTTAATTTATTTAATGCCCAGGAGCAGAGGAGAAGATTTTCAAGAAATAATGCATTTTCACTTTATACTTATTTAGCCCCGTCCTAGCACAAGAACCCCTGACCCTGGGGCCATGAATTTCACAATTTTGGTAGAGGCACTCTTGCTCATCATAACTATGCACTAAGCTAATTTATTTAATACCTAGGAGCAGAGAAGAAGATTTTCAAAGAATTATTGTATTTTCACTACATAATCAATGGAGCCCCACCCTAACACCAGAACCCCTGACTCTGGGGCCATAAAATTCACAATTTTGGTAGAAGCACTCTTGCTCATCATAACTATGTACTTAGGTATTTTTTTTAATACCTAGGATCAGAGAAGAAGATTTTCAAAGAAATAATGCATTTTCACTATATACTTATTTAGCCCCGCCCTAGCACAAGAACCCTTGACCCTGGGACCATGAATTTCACAGTTTTGGTAGAGGTCTCAATGCTGATTATAATCATGTAAACAGTTTGACTGCTTGATGTCCAGGATTAAAGAAGAATATTTTTAAAAGATTGCATTAATTTAAGTGGTTTTGGCCCCACCCCCAAGGCCCCAGGGGGGGGGGGTGGGGCAGGGATTATGAAATTCACAATTTTTGTTCCCCTTTACCCATAGATGCTTTTTGCTAAATTTGGTTGAAATTGGTTCAGTGGTTGCAGAGAAGAAGCTGAAAATGTTTAAAAGTTTACAACCGATTGACGACGAACAACGTACGACGGACGACGACGGACGAAAACAGATAGCAATAGGTCACCTGAGTGACTCAGGTGACCTAAAAGTGGAATGAAGTAGAAATTCGCTAGCAAAATCATCTTGCTTTAACTCTAATTATGCAGTGTTTGATATATATCTATAAAATTAAATTGAAAAAGTTAAAGTAATGATAAAATAATTACATACCACTTTTAATTTCGAGTTGAACTGCAAAAAACCCACAATAATATTGTTTATTAATGATGATGAAATTTTTAGACATTTTTGTAAGTCTAATATTTTCAATATCATACAATAAATAAGCCATGCTCTTAAAAATATAATTATAATCCTTTAAAAAATCAAGAATCTTGAAAGTATTGTTATAAGAATGTTCTTATTACAAATAAAATTCTAAATGAATAATGGGGAGAAAACAGTCTTTGTAGAATATCTGAACTGTTATTATTTTAGTTCTGAATCTACTGGTCAAACAGACTTCATTTCATTTATTATATTGTGTTAATATATGATATATCGTGCAAATTTATGGTGAAAAAAATTACTAGTATCCCCTGTAGTCAATTTGGAACCAGAATAAAGAAAAAAATACAATATAGATAAGACACAAGTAGAACATTCCTCGAACTTGTTGAAAATATGTGATCACTTTAAAGAGTACTGTATAATAAACATAAGTTTTATACATAAATTTCTAATAAGTTTTACATGTGTTTTGCCATGATATATGTGATAATATTATTCAAATTTGTTATGCTATATGTTCTCATATATTATACTTTTATGTAAATAAGTTGAATCTGATTGGTCGAGAAACACTTGTTAAAAATCATTGTTATACCTTTAAAAATTGTTCCTATACAAATCTATACAGAAAAAAGTCTAACATTTTTAATGTTTTGCTGAGCGGGCATAAAAAAATCGATGTTGGGCCGCTGAGTGAGATTTTGGACCGCTTACGTCACAGAATGGGCGAGGCTGAATCTCATTTTCATTCTTTGGTTTTAAACAGTGACAGATCTAATGTTGCATTACGGAATATAGTACAAAATACATGTATGTCAAAAAATATATAATAAAATGAAAGGTATAACAAAACATTTATTGACAGAGTTCTCGAGCAAAATGCGTTTTGTCGGACCCTCGAATCAAACTGTCTGTCTTCGGCCTAACGGCCTCAGGCAGACAGTTTGGTTCTTGGGTCCGACAAAACGCATGTTGCCCTCGAACTCAGTCAATAAATGTATACTATTACCCGCTGAATAATGAAGCCATGCGCTCCAGCGAAGCAACAGTCAACATTGCTTGATTACGATTGATATTCCGAAAAATAGCAACTGAGCAGAATTAATCCGCGCACGGCTCTCTGTTATATGTATTTGTATGGAATATTCAGTGTAATATTATAAATCAATATAAAAGTTGAGTGTAACATAGAAAATTTTCACCCCTCAAAAACACTGTCTACCTCGGCTGCGCGTAGGTTGACTTTTTTTTTCTTAGGGTAAAAATTTTCAATCTTACACTCAGCTAATTGCAATTTTAAGATAATGTTGAGCATTTCAAAATTTTATTTCTACTTTTACTTTTTAACTCGTGATATCTTTGGACATCAATGTGAAATACATATAATTTGTGTTTTAATCAATTATAAATAATGCCAATTCTCTCATCCCCTATCCCTCTAAAAAAACTTTAGC